AGAAGCGTACACTGCAAGATGTCATGTAGCACGGATGGAGCTTCACAGGTGAGGTTTTGACCCACAGCCATATTCACCAACTGTCTGCATTTTCTGGCACCAATGATCCACTGTGGGCGGGTGTCACCATCGCCTTTCTCCAGCCGAAGGACTCACCGCGGAGCCGACGCGTGGAGCATCCGTCCTACTAGCCTCCGAAACCGCGCTCGGTGAAGGATGAAAGGGAAACATCTGGAGGTTTGAATGACATCCGTGTCATCTGGCACGGATAGCCTGGCCTGTGATCTTGCCAGCCAGCTCAGGTTGGTGCTTGGAGATCGCGGGGAAAAGCCGCTCGCCAATCATCTGCTTCTGCACCTCAACCCGGAGCAGCAGCGAGAAAGCCCTCGTCTTTTTTCCACCCAGATGGTCCAAGGCCCACACATCCAGTACATCGGGACTAAATAGAGTGATTACACCAAACAGCTTACGTGCCAAAACCGCTTGTTGAGTTGCCAGAATGGCCAAATATGGTCTCCTTCCAATCCAACGTGCCGAAAGAAATCTCCTCAGTGACCGACCCAGTCGCGACCCAAACGCTCCAGCTCCACTGGCTCCACTCACCACTGCCGAACACGTCCACTCTCACCACCCCCACCGGTCCCCAGGGGCCCTTCTTCCCCCCGAACTGCCCAGTGGCCGGTGGGGGGGCTGCAGCCAGCGCGGCCGCAGTGAGCTGTTGACCTGGACCAGGCCGGGAGACCAGATCCAAGGGGTCACCGTCTCCAGTTTCTGAAGAGTTCAGAGGTCTGAAAACGCAAAAAGGATGGTCCTTCAACCTCCCCCCTTTAGATCCTCCGAGGGGACGATGCTTTTTGGAAGGAGGACGTCTGAAGGGCCAGCGTGGCCCCCGGAGGGTCGTGAGTCCTGAGGTTCGGATGTTGAAAGGACAGCCTGTGCCGGACGCCTCCACCCGTGTTGGCCGGTGGAGCCTGTGCCGGGCCCTGGCTGGGCATGCCTGACCGAAAACGTGGAGATTGCCCAAAGGGCATGGGATGGGGAGAGCAAGGTGACGAAATCAACACTTATCATATATACATATATACTGACTAACTGACGAACACATCCAATGTGCAACATGGAAGTGGCAAAATGTTTTGTTGGAAAGATACTTTCCTCTACAAACAGGCGGTGTTCAACTTCGATGTGAGTGAGTCAGAGTATACTGAGTATAGACTTGAGATGACAGGTATATAATGGAACCGGGGTGGTGCCACTGTGACAGCAAAAGCCCCGGGAGCATCTTCGTTCAGTAGAGTCTTCAGCATTCGTCAAGTGGTTGTTGTAGCGGTAGGTTTGTCTGGCTTGGTGATGCAGTATCTTGTGAAGCGCAATTGTGCCCTGGTAGGTTGGAAAAGCAGGTTAGGTGGCATGTCTTCATGGCCAGGTAGTAGTTGTACAGAAAAAAAAAAGACGCGAAAGGCTCAAATATCATATCTATCACAGGTGAACTTGCGTCTCACCAAAGTGTGGCAAACTCCGCATGTCCCAGACTAAACAGGCCACCTCCGACCGCCTGTTGAGCAGCACAACACACGTCTTTCCACTCGAAATGGTCATCATCCAATTGATTCACATGGAACTAGACGTCGAGGGTCGAGAGAAGACGTTGGCGTCCGATTTCCTCATATCGCCCAACACGTCACCACGGGAAAAATGCTGTCACAGTTGAGGATGTTTAAATAGGAGAACCTCCCAACCAATGGCTTTTGATCTCTTTTCTTCCAGAAACCTTGTTGCCTGCAAGGTCTCCCTGTTCTTTTTTTTCAGTGTCCACCTAGCTCTCACCCAGCTCTCACCCACCCATCTCCACCTGGGCGCATCATCGGCATCATGGGGGGCCGCATCATGCCCATGGGTCCCATAGGTCCCATGGCGCCCATGGGTCCCTGGCGAGACGCAGCGCGTCGCGGGTGATGCGAGGGGTGCAGGAGAGGCGGGGCATCGTTCGAGGCATCAATTAGGGCACCACAAGAGGCGCCAGGTCGAGGTGTTTCGGAAGACCAAATAGGCGCAAGGAGCACTGGCCGCTGGGCTCCAGTGTCAAACAGGAGTCGTTTTCGAAGATGCATCAAAATCCACGTGCGCGCACGTGGAGAAAGCAGATGCGTCAGTGACCCTAAAACCTCACAACACCCTCAAGACTGGCCGGGCAGGACCATAGGCATAGGCATCTGCATACCACCCTTGCCCATGGCACCACCCCTCAGCTTGGACAGTTTCTCCTCCTATCGGGCCTAGACACGAAATGACACGAACGTCGCGGTGTCACTGGCGTCGAACGTCGCGGCTGGTCGAACCTCTAAACCCTGGAAAACATGGAACATCCATGAACATCCCAGAAATGCAGAGAATACCGTGGCAGAGGTGGGGGATGCTCGTCGATCTGTGACTGTTCATCGCAGATCGGATGTTGCTCGGAAAGACGGGCTGGAAAAGGCTCAAGAGAGACACGCAGTCTTCGCTGGGGGAGTGCTGAAGGTCTCTAAACGTCTAAACGTGAAGCCAACATTGGCTTGGAACGTCGGCCCACCCAGAAGCCGTGACTGGCCCTCATTCACGGCCACTCGGGGCCCCCCCTTGTTCGAAGCCAAGCGTGTCATGATAGCTTCATGCAGCTGGCGTTTGGAGAAAAAGGTCCCCGTGGCGTCACCGGGTGCGGCCAAGTGACATGTTCATGTTCGGCATACCTTTGCCCATTGCGCCCATGCCTCAAAGGGTGCGATCCATGCGAAGTCATATGAAGTCCATGCTCCGACTGCTGGAGTATTGGAATGATCTGAAAAACAGCAGATCAAATTGAGATGCTCAACTCATCCGCAGTAAATCTACTTGCGGATGGCTGAAGGTGTTAGAGGAAGGAATCCCGATAGATGACCAGGTTAGAAAATACCCCACAATATGCACTGTTTTGTATGCCAAAGCATGCAGCATGTGTTCACTCAAAACAAGGAGTCCATGGCTTCGCCGCAGTCGTCACCCAATTGTCCAAGAACCCGGATAGCTTGCCATGCCTGGTAGGCAGTACTTTTCATTGTGTGGAGACCTTTCGAAGATCCCCCAATTTGTTTTGACCCATCGTTCATGTGCATCGTCTTTTTGCAGGGTGGCTTCTATCTTCATTCATGTTGCTATGCTATGGCTTCTATCTTCCGGGAAGTTGGAAGCAAGGATTATCCTAATTGAAAAGTTGGGTGCAAGGTAGGTCGTTGGACCTGAACCGCATGAGTAGTATGTTACTGCTCAGTTCAGACTGCAGAAGTGCTACGGACTCAGGTTATGAACTCTCATACAAGAGAAAAAGCGTCCGATCCTCGCGAGGACCATTGATCGCAAACTTCCAGCCGGTTACCAATGAAGGCCTGTCTTCTAATGAGAGAGGGGCCTAGGCTTGGGGCCTTCTCTTGACTCATCTCTGGTGCTAAGTGCGGCAAAACTGATGCATTCCACTAAAAACACTCTGCTTGAATGGCAGGATGAACCAATGCAGAGGTCATCAGGAATCACATGACACAGCTTGGAGTCACCTGAATCTATTAACTGAGGACTAAACGGCCACTGAGGGACCGAGCGCCGAAACAACGCCGAAACAAGGCAATGGTTTCATGGCTTGAAAAATGCAGGAGGATCCCGGACAAGTCAAGTTCAAGCCTTTTATTTGGGTCAAGCATTGGAATGAGATACTTAACACCACTATACCTGTACCACCGTCCGCAAACTGCCACCCAACAAGAAAGACACCCGGCTGAGTGCAGTGCCCATCATCTGAGGGTTCATCGGCATGTTGGGCATACCGCCCTTGCCCTTCTGGCCCATCCTGGGGGTCCGGTAACTCGGCTTTGCCCAAAAGAATAACTGCTCCCCTAGTGGCCTTGAATCGTAGATCCACAGATAAGAAGCTGCATTCGATATGTTTTCATGTGTACCTAGGGGTTGCTTTGGACTATTTATCCTCAGGGGCCTTGTGTAGTCATGTGGAAGCCATCGAGTAGAGGTGGTGCACCACTTGGAAGGATGTGGCAACAAATGTTCAGATTCCAAAAGTATTGTGTGTTGTTGGTTTTTTGGAGGGACCATTGTTTTGAGAAGGCAAGACATATATATATATATGTATAGCACGTTTCTTTTGGTAGGGACATGAACTTTTTGGGCTGCCTGTGATAGTGCTCTGGGGGCAGAAACATTGTAGCGCAAACACATTTTTGTACAGGCAGGTCAATGTTCTGAGGGCCATGTTCAAGTATTTCAGTGTTCTTTTGGATGATAACTTGTCAATACCTATGTTGTTCTTTTGCTTGGTGTGGCTGCACAGTCTTTGCTGGCACAGAAGGTTTGTTTAAACAAACTCATTGGAGGATTAGGAAATCCCACCAGCATAGCTATTGAATGACCTTCCACACTTGGCTTTGCTGGCCTTGTTTCACGACCTAATAGTCAATGGATTTGACTGGCAACATAAAACTTCATATCGCATGAGGCTGGGGAATGGGTGGGCGGGTGGGTGGCTGGGTGAGGATTGATTTCTGTACAGTCCTTAGTCCTTAGGAACGTTGGAACTTGTTTTCCAAGCGAACGAAGCTTCCACAGATCCGATGGATTGATCCCGATGTTTGTGATTCGACGCTTGTCGACATTGTTCGTTTCAAGTTTCAAGTTCTTTGTGAGGGATTCGCCGACGGGCTTCAAACAAGAGTCCATGCACTCATGTAGCAAACCAAATATGAGGGTCAACCACGCAGCAAAAAAGGACGGTGGCTGAAAATGGCGGATACCACATGAGGTGTACCGGGGGTCCCATGAAACACACATGCTGATTGCGTGATATGAAGGCTGTGCTCCCTTGTGGTACAAGACCAACCTACCTGCCGACGTACGTCGCGCGAGTGGGCGCTTGGTGGGAGCAAATCCGAGGAGAACACGCCACACAAAAAACCCTCAGTTGAGAGCTCCTCTTGGAAAACAGCCCCAAGTTCGGATTACATCCAAAAGCACCATGTTCCCTGCATCTCCAGGCCACATCATGCCAGCGTTCTGGCCCTGCATCATGCCCTTGCCCATGCCGCCCATGCCCATCATGGGCGGCTGCATACCACCTTAAGATGGCCGGGGGTTCCAGAGCATGGGTCTTCTCCCAACTCGTTGAGCGAAGGTGACCAACCCCAGACCATCCATGGGACTGGAATAGTTACCTACATTGGGATTTTAAACGGGTGGATGTATGTAACTATTCCGTCTGGATAGTCTGGGAACCAGGGAACCCTCCAAGGGGCACATGATGGCACCTTGGATTCGTGATCCTGCGCTAAATCTCTGCATACACTACAGAGATTAAGCCCCACAGTTGGATGGCAAAACCTCGCCATAGGGGGAGGGGTGATCAATCAACCGTACGTTGTTCATATGGATCATATTAATTTATGAATCATATGGATTCACTGAGGGCAATGTCCAAGGTCCAAAGCCAGTCACACACCTAGCAGGGCCGGAGAATGTGGCTTGAGGGTCAGTTCGTTCGTTCTGAAGTGCATTTGGCGGTCATAGTCGGGGGAGTGGTCAAGAGGAGGTAGACATCGTTCAAAAAGGATTTTGCAAATGATTTGTCTGCATATTTCGTTGTTTGTCCATCTTCAATTGGTACCCTCTGGGTGTTGTCCATTCGGGCTGTAAACATCTGGCCTCCCTTGGTATTACAGACGGTCGAGCAGCTCCTCGTCCCAAGGGCTCTAATTCTTCACCAATCTTCACGAATCTTTCCACATTAGCCCTGAACCCTGACAACTTCGAAGAGCTTCCAGTTTTCTTTCATCCTACCTCTCCTTCCAAAGCCATAGAGAACCAGGAGTCCAGTGCTTGTTGGGCTTCGAAAACACCGGCCTTTTCCGCGTTCGACACACCTGGCCAGACCAACCGTTTAGCAATCGGCCTCCAACCCAATAGCGATGGCCTCCAACCTAGTAGCGATGGCCCCAACGTGTCGGCACTGAGGCACCGGGCCTCCCATCCCTCCCATGGGATTTCCATACATCCCCATACCGCCCTTGCCCTTGCCCTTGCCCTTCCCCACGCCGGCGGGGGAGTATCGCTGGCCTCGGTGGAAAGAAGAAGACGCGCAGGTCACGCGCAAGTTTGAAGAAGTTGGCATGGTCTGGCAAGGATACAGCGTGTAATGTTGACATTACATGAAGCAAACATGGAAATCAAGTAGAAAAGATGGTCCATTGCAGAGATGCCCGCTGAAGACAGGTCATGTTTGTTGCTTCTGCTGATGGGTGTCTACAGTCAAAGGGGTTTCACAGACTTTGTCCAAGGGATGTCCAAAAACCGCCTAAAAGCCACTTTAGCCGCTTGCGGCGGCCATGCGCCATTTGAAACAAAAACATGGAGTAAACTAGATGAGAGCATTTCAACCAGCTTGCTGACCACCTACGCTCAAGAATGTACCTTGTACGTATTATACGTACATCTCAAATTAGCAAGAACCGTGGATTGCTCTGAGCGGAACTGGAGGCCCAACACCGAAAATCCAAAACCATTGCTATGAAAAAAGAAAGAACGGATGCCCAAAACCGGAGAAAAAAAGCACATTGGATTCCAAAGGTTCTGCCCCAAAACCGCCCACCTCCCTCCATGACCCCGATTGAACGAAAAAACCGCTTCGAGCCACGGAGGCGCTCCGCGCGCACATCCCGATTCTCGGCCAGGCCCACATAGAGCGGCTTTCCCTTGACCACCTCCGGTCGAGCAAGTGCAGTTGTCGGTGGGCAATTGTGGCCAAGGAGAAGGGCCCGGTGGTCTAATTCAGTCAAAAGAATGCTTGGTATAATTCATGTCATCGTGATTGAAGGTCTGTTACAGTAAGAAAGAATGAAGATGTTAAGTTTACATAAATCCAATATAACACAATTGTTCCATGTGTCTTCTCTTGAACTCAACCCACCTCTAAAGCTATAATAGCATTATATAGCTCTTGATTCAAACCACCCTGCTCATCCCAAAACCTCTTCGTTCCGCCCGGCAGGTGCCTCGAAAAAGACCCCCCCCATCTCCGCCGGACGCGGCGCAGAGGAAACCGCGGGCCTTGAGATGCATCTCGGTGACGGCCTTCGTGGCTTCATCGGGGCTGCTGAAGCACACGAAGCCAAAGCCCTGGCGGAAGAGGTGGTCCAAAGTGTCCGACATGAGGTGGTCCAAGCACGGGCAAAAGAAGTTGGGGATCGTTGGAGGGTACGTTTTGGGCAGGGATCGTGCGAAGAGCTTTCGCCACCGGCAGAGTTGGATGTGGGTGGCATGGGAGTATATGTTGGGATGTGAAGAAAGCTAGAAGAGAAGCTCCAATGCTACGAAGGGTTTTGTCCGTTTTGTCCTGCAGGTCGTTTCTTTTTCGATTTCGGATTTGGAGTTGTCAAGCGATTCAATTCTCAAAAGCATGGGCCTTCTTGGTTCTTTCAAGTCCACAACATTATTGAAGGGGGGAGTGAGTGGAAACATGTTGTTAGAACTACATCTGTGGGCCAACCCAACTTGTGATAGTTACACTTGGATTTGCTGTCCAGGAAGCGGCCTAAGAAGTTTCAGCATCTTCCCCAGGAACCTGGGGAGGTCGCCAGAAGTTCAGGAAAATGCCAAGAAAACCCAAATCCACAAAATCCAGGTACATCGACATGTGACTCATAGGACATATAGAAGGCATATGGTCTGAGAGAGTTGTTGATGGCATCGGTCCCCAAAGCATCGGTCGACCGCCGTCTGACCTACGTCCCACATGGGAGCACCCACCCGCATCGGTGGCCGTGGGCGGTGCCCACCGCCGCGCGCCTTGCATTTGCCGCTGGGCTCCTGAAGTGTCCAACTGCTGAAAGAATGGAAAAGCACCAACTGGTGCTCCTGGGGGCTCCTGGCACTACTAGTTTGCTAGGGGATGGGTGTTCGGACAGAACACCTGTCAACCCTTTGGGACCCGAACAGTCGATTGGTGTTGTCTTGAAACAGGTGCCGGAAAGCCTGGTCTTATCTACCTCATCCACCAGTGATCAAATGCCATTCAGCTGTCTGTGGCTCTTCAGAGCCCCACACTTCAGCTTCCACATGAAACATGCTTTCAGGGAAGACCATCTTTGTCCCGATAATTCCAACCTTCCACGAGCCAAACAAAATAGTCTTTGGACTTCTAGGGTATTTATATATATATACATAGAAACGAGAAAAACATAGAAAAACAAGAGATTCCTTTTACATCTATTTATACTGTATATATATTATATGTAATTACTAGAGAGAGAGAGAGAGGGATTCCTTTACAAGCAATGTGTCGTACCCATGCTCGTCCCATGGTACCAAGTCGTCGGCGGGGCGTGCTCCGTCACCGTCCCCGTGAGCTTTTCCCGGCCCACTCGCGGCTGCGACGCAGCATGGAATGGTCAACTGATGGATGATATAACGACCTGGGCCTGGGTAGGGCCTGGGTAGGGCCGTCCATCCTGTTTTGGGAGAATCAAGACATCGATGGCGGGTCCCGAACCGACTCTGCACGATTTGCAACCAGTCCGAAGGCACCATGTCAATCCTGCCAGTCACCATGGTGAAGGTGATTGCTTTTGCTCTCGTGGCCAAGCAGAGACCCAAAAAGGTCCCAACGCCTCGAATTGGAACTGTGGACCTGAACCCAAAATTCGCACCAACGACGCACCGCACCCAGTCGACCTCGGCAAGCGCAAGCGCAAGCAAGCGCAAGCAAGCGCAAGCAATGCGGAACCGACCCGCAGAGGACCCGTCCTTCATGGCACAGACCGAGGTGATGTTTCCGAAGGACTCAAAGAGCCCGCGCAAGGAGTCGTCGTCCGTCTGTTCGTCCTCGGAGCGAGCGCGAAGACCCGCTGGGCGGGTCTAAATGGACTCTCAAAGCGTCAAAGAGACAACCGGTGCACCAACCGGTGTCTTGGTGAAGCATGGTAAAACCATGGTAAAACCATGGTAAAACCTTGGTAAAACCATGGTAAACCCATGCACCAAAACCGTCTTCACTGTGAGCCATGAAAGCAGTGCGACCATCGCCCCAAGTCTAGACAGACTTCTTAAGACCAAGACAGCACATTCAGGATCTTCTGACCATCCCAATGACCAGAAAGCGTTCTTCCGCTAAACCCGACGGCTGACGCCTCGAAATCTTGCTTTTTCGAGTCGATTTCATAAAGCGGCTCGTCAGCCCTCTGCTACGGGTGGTGCAGCTGTTTTGATACCACCACCTTGTTATTTTCTCCTGCACTCAACGCTTAAGACAGGAAAAATAATGAAAAAGGGTGTGCAAGGCATTGAACCCTGGACATGCTGCGCATGACATGCTGATCCTATGAGGGCACCCTTCTTGGACTGCGGATCGTCGCGCGGAGTGTCTCTGGTGCAGGGGATCGTCTCAACATGAAGTAGCGTATCTGTGAGCACGGCCAGAAATCATCGGAAGTCGATTCCCAGTTGGACACCTCATCCACCTACTAATCAATGATGGACATATTGCAGCGCATGCTGGCTAGACAGCGAGAGCTACAGCGAGAGCTTCTCACTTGTCATGGGTAAGGAAGCTGCTGCCACATGAATGCAAACAGTGAAATCTCGCACGCAAAGCTCACGCAAGTTGCTTGGCAAGGTCAAACCTTCCAAGCTCTGGTTACAACCCGCATGTGGTGAGGCGATGTGTGGGACACATCCAAGTCATAGCCATAGCTCTTCAGGTGCTTCACCCACTTGGTAGAAAGCTGCACGCAGCTGCATGCAGCGGACGGTGGGTTTTCTTGGATGATTTTCTTGAACCTTCCGTAGCTGGCTTTGAGATCCTTGAAACATCTGGGAACTGAAACACTCTGCAAGCCATTCAGGCGCCAGGAAAAGCAAGTGCCAAACACCAATCTCCAAAATGATATGACAATCCCTTCAACACCATTGCTGGGCTCCTCTCCTTCCCATACGCATGGCAAACACTCCAACGAATCAACACATCACATGGTTAGGTGGATGGCCTCCCCCCCTAACAGGAGTACATCGTCTTCCTTTCGGGACCGATGCCATCCACGAAACCATGATCCATGGAAAAGTGTTCGTCAGAGTGTATATGGCCCTATACTATGAGATCTGCCAAGGCTCCAAGTTCTTGATGTACAGGTTCACTCCCTGACTTCGGCCAGCGGGTTCCCTGGCTGGCATCTTCTCCTGGCTCACGTCCACATGTGGTAGCAACTGCAACAGCTGGGATCTCTCTCTGTGGGTCGAAACCAGGACACCGGAAGGTTAAAACTCATGGTGTAGAGTGTAGGGGCTCGAGGTTTTGACCTATCCCCATCTGCTTCAGAGAATTCATTTCCAAGAAGAAGACTCATGGAACTGGTCTGTCAGTCTGTCAGTGTTCCAATCGCAGAAATATTCAGGGTGCCCATGTGACAGATCGAGGGTGTCAGCATCTCCAAAAGGTCAACCAGGAAAACCAAATCTGACGTCTCTCTACGGCAGCTGGAAGACCCAGAAATCTTCTAGTGACACTTGAAAACATGGTCTAACTACTCACCTTTGCTCAAAAACTGCTCTTCTTGAGACACTCACCTACCCTCCAACCCTCCGGTCGCGCCCGGCGACGGAACGCTGCAGAACTGCGGCCTTCAGCTCCAGAGCGCGCTCCGTCTTACTCTGCGCGCGGTTCACATAGAGGAGGTAGCCTGGGTGGGGAGGGTACTCAGGCAGCCCAACGTCTCGATTAAGCCCAACGTCTCGCTGGCAGCCTGGGGGGTAGTGCTGGACAGAGATCACAAGGGACCCATACGCATCGATGAAAGGCTCTTTCAATCAAAATTGATTGTGTTTGAAGAACACATTCCAAACCACAATATCACGACCTAAACACATGTCTTCATGTGTCGCTGCGTCAAACAAAGAACAGAACTCCCTGCCGAGAACCAACTCCCCCCCAAGATCGGTCGTTGAGGCCAACTCATTGAATCAGCTTTGTTGCGTCGTTCGTTGCGCCGTCCCACGGGGTGCCATCGCTGGCTGCCGTTGTCGCGTCGCGTCGCATCAGCTCAGACGCATGGCTCTTCGTGGCTGGCTTGGGGCTTGGGGGGTCGGGTCTTGTTCAAGCAGAAAGCGAAAGAAGCGAACGCCGTTCGGGTCTTGTTGGCTGCTAGGCACTGCAAGCGGCCAGGCTTTTTGCGGAGAATTGATGTGGAAGTTCTTTCGAGATTGCCACCAACCAGCTCGAAAAAAAGGGCCGGTCAATGGTGAATTGCAATACCACCCCATCCCCATCCCCCTTTGAAGTTTCCAAAAGGAGAACAAGCAGAGACGTAGCAGCCAGCCAAATCCTTCCTCCCAAAGTCCAAGAAACTCTTTTCAGCGTTGTCTTTCTCCTCTTCCTCTTTCTCCTCAGAAGCCGTTGGTGGTCGAGAAATCGTGGGATCAATGGACGTGCCCGGGAAGAAGAAACTCGCCCAGCCAGCTGCAGGAACGGCTTCCAACGCGAACCCAACGAACGGGTTCTTGGAGATCTCTGGCAGCTTGGCGAACGAAGAAGAGAATGGGCTTTAAGAGTCGAGGATAGATATGAAAGAGCAATATTGGGATGGTTTGGGGGGTCAATGTAGGCATATATGGCATACATGGAGTGTATGGGATATGAAAGGAATGAAATAAACAGATCAACAAAGCAAATCCTGACAGTCCCTCTTCCAAGGTGCTCACACTGCTGTGGGGAGTACTTAAAGCACGAGCCGAATTAAATGGATGTCTTTCTGTTCTCATGTCTGACTCCACAAAGAGGGAGATCGGTATCATCCCCCACTTGGTGCCAAGAACATGGTCTCGCACTGGTCCACATCTCGTCACGTTTTCACCCCATCGGGGCAGTCCTTGTCGGCCTCCTTTTGCTCCTCCGTGCGGAAGTCCTTCTGATGCATCTCATCAATGGCCTCGCCAGCTTCCCAGAGCGAAAGAGAGGGTCGGTCGTCACGCGGCACTTCAAAGCAGACCTCCTGTCTTCGCAAATAGACTAGAACCATCAACTCGGGCTCCCATCATAGGCTGCAAGGGTTCACCAACACACAGTACACACATGACACACATGACACGTCATCCTTCTTCCATTTTCTCCAACCTCTCCTGCGTTTGATGTTCTCAACCTGATCCTCAATAGAAAAGAAGTCCTGTGGCTTCAACTCCAGCGTCCCCCAAGCGGTCTCAGAGCCGTCTCAGACCTTCTTCGCTTCCTCGTGGGTCTCGAAGTTCAAGAAGGCGAACTTGCGGCCCTGATGGTTTCAACGAGGTGCAAGTTCGAGGGCTTGGAGATCTTTGGATTGAATTTGTAGATGTGTTCTCTGTTTCTGGGAAGTGTTTGCTTAAACATTGCCCTTGTCTTGCTCCTTTCTATGTCATTGCGTTGGGTAAAAGTCCCAAACGGTCTGGGCAGAGAAAAACATTTCAAAAAAAAGAACTTACCAAACATAGACCGACTTTAAGTATTGTTTAAAAAGATATATATGATATATATGATATGATATGATATGATATATATATATATATGTCCGTCCTAGTTCGGTGCAACTGGGAACCCCCCACCTTCCTTGGACCGGACCCCCACCATCCGCCGGTGCCGTCGCGGAAACGGTGCCTTGTTGTCGGCGGAGAGGAACGCGGAGGTGATCTGCAGCGCGAGTGAAACCGTGAGTGAGACCGGACCCTCCGTTGAGTTGAGGAAGGTCGACCAACAAATCATCTGGACCTTCCAACAGGTCTCTGGAGACGACGTTGACGTTGTGTCCTTTGGCGTCACGAACCCAACCCAACTGGCGAGATGAAAATTTGGAAGGCCCCAGCTAGCTACCCACAGTTCAAAGGAATCCCAAGGTAACCTGGCTCAAACCTCAAAAAATACACCCCGGAAGACTAACATGGACCCTGAAAACCACTGGTTGGTAGAGGAAAACACTCTTCCAGGGGACCATTGTCAGGGTCTATGTTAGTTTTCGGGAGTGTAGATGGCTTCTGGCGCAAAAACATCAGATGTGCAAAAAGATGATTGAGACGACCAGTTTCGCGCTGCGCAGGGCGTCCTGTTTTGACCATCCCTCAGTTGACTTGGGTAGGATGGATATCGGATACAGCGAAAAATGTTAATTTTTAAGATTGCTCAAATAGTGCATAGTGAGTGCAATGGCTGCAATGGCCGACCCGGAAAACGCTCCGAAGCTTCCGAAAGTTCCCCATCCTTCTCTTCCTGGAGCACCGAACATGTCACGCAGGTGGTGTGCATCGTTCCATTTGCACTGACCCGGAAAATCCTCTGGCCTTGCCGCACTTGCCAAACTCGGTCTTGACTTTCTCCTCATCCCAATCAGTAGGGAAGTTCTTGATATACACCTGAGCAACGAACTTTTGTGAGTTTTTCCCTTCAATCTTGGTGAATCGAGGACTATTGACTATTGTAGGAGATGGTGGAGTTCCCTGGTACACCAAGCAGTCAAAGAGCACAGAGAGTCAGAATCTGCTTGCTTGTGGGCCAGGGCATTCTCAACTACATCGTTGATGCTCTGAGTGGATCAAATGGTGCCACTCTCTTCACAAGAGCATGTACTGATTTAAGTGTTGGTTTGATGGAAACCATGCACCACCCCCCCACCTACAAGGCTGGAAGTGCAAGTTACGGCGTTCGCTGTGGATGATTGCGGCTGTGGCGGGTGAAGGACTCGACGAAACTCACCCAACGAAACCCGATGCTTTCGACCCCTGCCCAGCCTCAGTAACGGATGTCAGCCAGTCTTTTGGTCCAAGCGATGCCCATGAACGTAACCAAAATACAATATACCTGGACCACACTGGACCATCCTGCCTGGGTGTCCTGGCTGGAGATCCCGGATAGTAGTCCAACCAGGACACCCAAACATTGCATAACTAGCAAGGGGTTGGGGGAACTCCCGTGGTTGCTCTGAGTTCCGGCTCCCTGTTTCATGAGATCTTGGCCACCGGCTGGCTCACGTCTCCCTCCTCCTGTCCTCTGGCCACGCTCGCGAACCCTGTGTCCTCCTCTTGTCCTCCTGGCTCACTCCCTGAGCCCCCTACGTTCGTGAAGGTGTTCATGGTGGGCTTGTCACCTCAAACCGCGCTTCGACGCACGTTGTGGGTGACTTGTTTTCGGCTCGATCGCTGATGCCCGGTCGAACTGTTTTCGGCTCGATCTCCGGTTCTCAGATGAGAAAACTGGGTAGAACATGGGTCGAAACTGGACCCAAGTCTGACTTGGCCAACAACGAAAGGGCTGCTTTGCCAGGCTACCAACCACTCCATAAAATACTAAGGAGTAGTTTGCTACATTGACCCCTGAAATGACCCCAATGTTTGTAAGTATTCCGTCAAGTGTTGAGCTGGGGATTGCTTGTAAAATATTTGTGGATGATGTTGCGTTGTGTTTTCTGGCCAGCGGTTGATTTGGAAAACTTCAAATTGCTACAGCCGCATCAAAGAAAGGGACGCGGGAGCTCAGATTCTACGTTTGAGCTAGAGTGTCACCAGTAGGGCGACGGTGAACCTTCGTGTTTGGATTGCCATTTGCCGATATTTGCTGTAATATTACAGGAACAAGGTCAGTATTGCAGGAACAAGGCGGACCAAACTAATAGGGATGGGGTCCTATACTTCATGGCTTGACATTTATGTGGACTCTTGATGATACAATGTGGACTCTCATGACTCACGACAATTAAGGCCTACTTTTGGCTTCTCTACGGCATCACTGCCGCGTTTCCCCTTAGATCTCTTCACAGTCCCTTCAAGGGACGTTTCAAGGTGGAAGTTGCTGTGGTTTTTGCAAGGATCGCATGCGAGAACAGCTAATTACAGCTTTCCCAGGCTTTTTTGGGAATTGGAGGGCCACATCCTACCACATCCTGCCATCTCCTAGCACTTGGTCAGAGTCCTCCAGGGACATGGACTATATAAAACAACCATCATTCCATCTGAACCCTAATTAGCCTTCAAAGACCGGCCTTTTATATTGGTCCGGCTTTGCGTCAAATCCTTGGTAAACCAAATGGCTCTTTGGTCAATACCATTGAAATCCATTGAATCAATGGCTGTTGGAATCCGGGTGACCGGGTGAATGGACCTTCCAGCGACCGGGCGACCGGTCACCCGAGGCGGTCGACGCAGTCGCAGGTCCGTCCGTCTCGTGTCAGTCGTTCCCAAAACTCGTTCCAAATGGCTTCGCCGTTGGTTCACACCGTTGTCGCAAGGGCCTAGGAGTCCAACAGCCATTGATTCAATAGTATTGACCAAAGAACCATTGCTTGACCAAGGATTTTACACCACAAAGCCAGGCCAAGCATCTTTTTTTTCAAACGCTCGAACTGAAGGCGAAACCCAAAAAGCCGGCCATGCACCCTGCCGTCTTCCTCCCCCTTCGTCTTCCTCCACGGGTCGCCCGCCCGCGTCCGTCTCTCCGTTGGCGCCCCAGGAACGCTCGGAACGCTTCACGAAGTGACCCACGCCCACCTGCAGGCGCCGGCGGTGCGCAGGATGGTCCTCCCTTCGTCATCCGGGAGAGCGAAGGGAAGTGGGAAAGAGAAGAAACGCTTGGGAAGCCCAAAGCATGTTGGAGGGAGGAAGTCAGGGAGCATGTCCATCTTGTCCGGTTTCAGGCGGATGTTTTAGGATCTTGATTCAATTGAAAGGATCCTCCAAGGGCAGTTTGCTTTCCAGCATTTGAAGAAGCTGTGGAATTCTGTACACTGAAAGCGATTTCGCGTGGGTTGGCGATGAAGACTCCAAGAAATTGCTTGAGAAATGCACATCCAAATCTGACAGATTCGTGTTTTTCAGCCCCTTAGCGTCTCCATGCATGCCAACTTAGCGTCTCCAACAAGAAACTGGGCGTCTCCAACGACCCAGACAGCTTGACAGCCAGCGGATCAGGCCCTGTCGCCCGCATCGTGGGTTTTCTCCAAGCACCCCCACCGTCTTCTCGCCGATCTGCATGCCATCCACCTTCTCGATGGCCTCCAACGAATGACTGTCTACAAATAGATGTCCTACCATTGCAGGTTCCAAAAAACGGCGAGTTACATGGTTGTTCTTACCATTTACATGGACCTTCATCATGTGCAGTGATACAACTCCCAAGGACACCTGGAGAATTCCAGATGTCGTCGCCCAGTCCATCCCCTTCCTCCACAACGAGGCTTGTCGGTCGCCAAAAAGACCCCTGACGTCTGCCTCATTTCGGGTCTTAGTCTTTGGAATCTAGATCACGGGAATCCTCCGGTGGTCTGGGTGGTTCGGTCGTGGTGGTTCAGTGGATTCAGTGGGTGGAAACGATTGACCAACCCGCTGGCAGAGCTCATCCATTGTCCCAATCTGATGGATCTCCAAGAAATTTAGGTACTATATGAATCCTGTGGTCTAGGTCTTTCTACTTGTGACAGTTGCTTATATAACTCAATTATCAGAACAGAAACTCCTTTGGCCTGGCTGTGCTTCGCCCCGCCTGCTTCGCGGCCTCTTCGGTCTCGTAGTGGACCTCGTTTCGTGACCGACGCTACGTTTGTACTACAAGGCTGTGGGTGATGGCACCACCCGGAGCCACGAACTCCACCGGGGTGGGTTGACTTGCCCAGGTCGTCTGTTCATTTGGGGTTCAGAAAAACCCGGGTCCCCGCTGACCCACAGCCACAGTTTGTGGCCAGTTCTGAGGCCACAGCTCACCACCACGGTCACTGGTGCTCGACGGCACGACCCGCTGTCAGAGTCAACGACGTTCGGTCGCGCGGTCGGTCGCGCGTTCGTGGCCCACGGTGTTTGGGCACCCTGGCACCCCCCACCCTGTTCCCCTGGTTCGGTATGAGGGATGGGGAAAAGGCTCATCCGATTATGTTTAGTGGTCCAAGCCGTCCACATCACCATTCTGAAGGAGTCAGAGTGTGTTTTAGCGAACTGTCCCACCTGTTTCTGATTTCGCGGGGTGTCCCAATCACTGCAGGTGATCCGCCTACTGATAAAAACTTCACCGGCAGAATGTCTTGCCGATCTGATCGGGCTGCCTCGCAAGAAAACGTCGGGGAAACGGCCGTCTATGACATCAGTTCATTGATGAACTCAGTGATGTTTTGTGGCATCTGAAATGGAAAGGAAAAGAAAACGGAAAGTTAAAAATGAAAGGGAAAAGGAAAGGGAAAGAGAAAGGAAAAGGGAAGGGAAGGAAAGAAAAGGAAGGAATAAGGAAGGGATAAGAAGGGATAAGGGAGGGATAAGGCAGGGATAACGAAAGGGATAAGGGAAGGGATAGGATAAGAAAGGGATAGGGCAAGGGATAGGCATAGGGATAGGCATAGCGATAGGGATAGGGAAAGGGATGGGCATAGGGAAAGCGAAAGGGAAAGAAACGTCTTCATCAGACATGAAAATTCCACCAAGCACACTCAGCTGGTCGTCGTGTTGGAAGCAGTTTGTTCCACTTTTGCATGGTATAGATGCTTCTTTGTTCATTGTTAAGTCGTTGTCAACTCTTCATGGAAACCTATATATATATGTAGAGATTGGGTCTATCCTATATATATATATATGTAGAGATTGGGTCTATCCTATTACCTGTCCTGTAACAGTGGATGATGATGCTTAGGTACCAGGCCTTGTCCAAACATCGTGATTTGCTTGTGAAACCTGACTGTTACAGAACGGACAGACACCACTCGTGGTTAGTTGCCCTTCACGCCTTGTTACCGACCAATGAACAGGGCAACGACGATGGGACCCAACCGGCTAACCGCAGTGAAGAGATTACAGTTGATCAATGTCGAGCTCGGTTCCCATCCTGGCAGTGGAGCATGTCGAAACGTCACTTTCCGTGGCGGCCCAAGATACCGGAAACGTTGGATCCGCCCCAGAGGTGGGGCAGAACTGCTGCAGACTGGAGAACTCTTTGCCATTTTTTGCGCAACTTATGTTGGATGGTCGACCAAGAGCAAAGTTTTTCCTTCACTGAACTGGCTGTGGTATTTCACTACGAAGGGTTTAGGCTGGAAGGTGATAACACCATGCGGACATTTTATGATGTCTACAAGGCCATTCGTGAATGCATGCAGTATATGACCAAGATTGATGAGTGTGATGGCTTCCCAGGCGTGTTCGACACGGCTTTCCCACGCTCTTGCGGGCGTGTGTTACCACAAGGTTGCATTCGTGGTGCGATTCCGTATTTTGCAGATGAGGCCAAGCTACTTGTTGCCCGTCTTTTTGCGGCCGGTGCGGGTCGCACAATTGACTCATGGAGGCTTCCTTTGGCTGACTTTTGATCGTCTCACTTGCATGTTCGTTGTAGTTGTCTCTATCTGTGGTAGAGCAACACGCTCACCTCAGGTTTCACACCTGAGATTTCGAGCGCGAGAGATCGTATAGAGTTCTATTTTTTGGGGGGGGGGGGTGGGTGGTCCAATCCGCCCCTCCCCGGCCCCTCCCCTCTGAGGCCCCCAGGCGAAGCCATAGCCACGGGACTTCCCGTCAGGCCCTGTGGACACCTGCGTGTGGCGTCAGAAAGCAACCACCGCGTGGGTCGATGCGGGAACCTTCCAAAGGCCGGCAAACTAGGTGAAAGGATGGCACGAACGGTGAAACTATGTGAACAACACCTTTTTCTTGTGGGAGGTTTCTGGTGTCTCCATACTCCAGTCGGCACCAATCTGCAGGAAAAATGGGTCAAAACATGTCGGCGCCAAAGTGCATGGCGAAACCGGGAAAACTGGAAAGACTGATGTATGTATTCAAGAGTCGAGCGCCTGCTCTGAAACAACCAAGCAGCAGCAGCAGGTGAACGATTATTGTGATAAGGACGAAAACCCTTGCCCACAGGAAGAATGCCAACACGTTTCCAACACTACGAGTTCTGATGTGTCTCTGTTCCGTGGTAGTCTGACTCACCTCACCTAGAAGTAGACCCAGGTCTGCTCTGTGGGCCCAAAGGGAACCTCGAGCAGATAGAATCCTTGATCATCTTGATCCCCCCTGCCGCACTTCGCCTTCGCTTCGAGCGTTCCACCTTCACCTCCCCAATCTTCCGCCCTCACGACCTCGCCCACCCGGTCGCCCCCCACAGTCGCCTTGCAGGAGAGGATGTTGCCAAAGAGGCTGAAGGTGTCGTAGAGCGCTTTGTTATCCACGTTCCGGTCCAGGTTTCGGACCTCGAAAACGCCGCGCAGGAGCGCGAAAACGGCATAGCGAAAAAGTGTCTCCTCTCAAACAGACGTCAGTTTTGTTATATATAGTGTATAACACCCTATTTAGACCCCCACATCACCCCACTCATCTTTCAGGGTCAATACCCCGTGGGCCTGGGTCTTTTTCAATGCGGCATGCGTGTTCTGCCCGATAGGTCCCAGGTGCTGTCAAACAAAGATTTCCTTCACCGCTCTTGTAGCATGACTGAGTGCTCGCTTGCAGTGCCCCGAACAAGGTGTGAAACAGCAGCAACAAGCAGCCATCCAGCTAAGTAAATGCACTGCGCGCACATAAGATCAAAGCGGGATTGTGACACAGACAAGTTGCACTCTCTCTCCCTCTCTCTCTGGACGGATATATAGTCCATGTGCTCGTTTTTTTGTTTAATGCAACCAAGTCATTGAAACACAAGTCTTTACAAACAACATCCAACAACAGCCATTCGAATCATTTCAGGTAGGAAGGAGGATGCGAGGAAGGCATTGTTGTAGAAGAATGTGTTAAGCATCAGTGCGTCGTGGAAGAAGAGATTCAAGTAGAGCATCCCACGAAAAAGTGAGCTGCCAGATCGAACATGCGGGACTCCCAAGATTCTGCCACCCTGCACCAATTATGGTGCGCTTCCGTCCCTCTTCGAGAAAGCTCAGCAGTGCCCCAAATGCGAAGATTTCCTCCGAATCCAGAGGGAAACGCGGCACCACCTGGAGAAAGAAACATCAAGCCACGGGCTCGATGAGGCGCCCAAAAAAACAGGGCCTCCTTCACCTACTTCAGCCGAAACGTCCCTGGGGTCCCGCACGAAGACGTTGCCGAGACCACCTGACGGGTGAGGCCGACGTACCGAAGACGGATCCAGACCAGTGGGCGTGAAGACCGGTGGGGATGGAGCGTTTAGACCTACCCCACCGGGCGAAAGCTCGGCCGAAGCAGGTCGACACCGGTCTCAAACGTTGGTCGACCTGCGGTACATCAGAGCCCCCTAAAGCTCCAAAAGTGCCGATGGCATAGGAAATCCATCGTACATCAAGAGGCTCTCAAACTGATCTCTTGCCACCCAGCAGGCGCCAAAAACAAGGAAACTGGGCACTGAGGCACAAGCTATGAGGTTCCCGAAATCAAAGCATCCCAAAGGCTGGAGGGAATCCACATGGGATAACGAGATCGAAGGGTCTTCGTGACTGGTGACTACCCTGACAACGCATGGATCTAATTTACCAATCCGATTATGGGATCCAATGGAATGATGATAATGGAAAAAAGCTGCACAGGTATTTCACCGGGCTTTGTTGGTGAAAAATCTCTTCCAAGCGCGGTTGGTGCCCCATGTACACTCCCGGAAACTGGACCCGAATGGGACCCGGAGTCCGGCTGTCTTCCTCTAGCTGTACCAGTGGTTTTCAGGGTCCATGTGACGTTTTCCACGGTGTAAGTGCCCCGCCCAAAGGCGTACTTCGTCGGTCGTTTCCAGTGCTGCGTCCAAGACGCCCTTGCGGAGGGTTGGATCACGCTGGCTCCACATGATGCGGCATGCTCGCCCCTCAGCACACCACTTCGCTGCGTGGCGAGCGTCGTGAGCGTCGTGGTCGAGGCACGGAAGAGGAAGCCAACAAAAAATCAGATGATTCATTGGACTGGAAGCGTTACACACACTTACACTTACACTTACACTGACACCGACACTTGCACTTACACTTACACACTTGCACACTTGCACACTTACACACACACACACACACCAGCACCCTCCAACAGGTGCTTCCTGGTGACAACAGGTGCCCAGAAATCACCTGTTAGGGTCTCTAAACAGCCTGTTGGAGGGTCCTGGTATA